GGTGGGGTGCTCCCAAAATAGCTCTCAGTTGCCTCACCAGTCTCAGCAGCAGCTTGAAAAGCCTTTTTCTTCTGGGACAACTTGGAGAAGTTTAAAATGTTTGGACTTATTTTGAAAGTACACTGAAATATAAGAATGATCTATTCCAAGGGTGGGTGAACTGAAGGTCACAGCTAAGGCATTGCACAACACAGCCAAGTCAGTCCAGCACAAAACTTGCACAGGATTTGATCAGCTCATCACTACTGCTGCCTCTGCCTAAATTCAGGTCAAAGCTTCCACCTGGCACCTCAGTGGCCCAAACACTCTCATTGTTTGTCCTAAATACCACTGGGGTGATGCCAACAAGGCGGAGGACACGGATCCTTCCCTGCCAGAGCGCTGTTGGAGGAGCCTTCAGAAAAATCAAGCAAAGAAGCTCCATTTCCAAGCAGCAGCTGTAATTGCTGCAGGACAAGCATCCTCTGACTCTGGGAAGGCTTCTGCACAATTTTATCTTGGTCAAAGGCTATTTCCTGACTGGATGTTGTAATATTTCAGGCTATCTCTAGTTAGGACAAAGCCTGAAGAGCTTTGGCTATGTTAAACAAGGGATATCCCCAAGCAGCTCTTTACGCTGCAGTACTTGGGTGCAACGCTCCCACAGGCTTTGCCTGGACAACATAGCGGTCATCCCCCTGGAGTCATGGGAACCCCCTCCCTGCTGTGCGGAGAATCTCCTTTTTCTGCAAAGTATTATTTGCTCGTGAAAAACGAATCCAAAACCCCCATATACATCTGTGGCTTCCCGTCAGGGTGGGAGAATTTCTGCCGACAAGGCTCATGTTTCTGAGTACGCTCTCCTATGCCTTGGCCAGAGCCCTTGGTGTAACTTTCTGCTGAAGTCAGGCTGCTGGTTTTCTTATCCCAAATCCCAATCGGGTGGTTTCGAGTACTCCAGGCATTTTTCAAAGACAGTCTGAAGCCCAGCCAAGCCCACAGGGGGGTGTAACTGATGTGTAGTTGGGCTGGTTGTCTCCCAGGATGGGCATGCTGTGCTGCAGCTGCAGGGTGCATCCACCACCCCAGGGGACAACTCCCCTGACCCCCAAAATGAAGTGAACTTCGTGATTTTTAGCAGCAGTAAATGATCCCAGTAGGGATTATCTGACCACCAAAACTAGGCTGGCTTGGCTGAAGTGCAGAGGCCCATGTAAATATGCATTTACAGACTCTAGCAGACGCAGGGTCAAGCCCCCTCCCCAGCCCAACACCACCCCACCAGCCGGTTTCACCCACTGCTTGGAAATCACCGCTTCTCCAGGTCCTGCCTTCAGGTCTCTGTCTACACCCCAGTAAAACAGAGCGAAGGCAAATGTGCAATGTACAGATCCATTATGCTTTATTTACATGCGTCACCATCTCTTTTACAAACTAGATTACAATTTAAAATGGAATACACAAGGCAATATCTACTAACACCAAGTGGAGTAAGCACTGCATCTCTACTTTGTTTGGAACGGGGCAGGTTCTGCTCCAAAACAAACTTTCTTCCAACCTCTGTGTAGTAAGGTAGTATATTCCTCCAGGGCAGCATCTTTTTTTGTCTTTTTCTTAAAATATAAAATCCTCAGTAAGACTGCAATGTGAGAGTGTCTGCTTTCAAATGAAAGTACAAGATAGCCCAAATGAAAAGTATAAACTGTTCAGCTCTTCGGTATGTAAAGACGGCCATGCGCGATAAGGCTGTGGATTTAATATTCTTCCAATTTACATGGCTTGAAACAAAAACAGATAGAACAGTTTTACAGATACTGTATACATATTTTTTTCCAATCATGCAACTTTTTTAAAAAAAAAGTTAAACATGTGAAGCCAAATGTACAATCCATTTTTTCCAACCCATAGTAACGAAATGTATCTGGTCCCCCTCCGCATATGTTGGCAATTCCAAAGGTATGTTGTGTACTAGAAACGCTTACAGGACACCAATTGCCAAGCAATGACATCATTTTAGAGAAATACATGACCTAAAAAATAACCTTTTGAAGCGGTGGCACAAAAATGTCTGGAGTTAAGCAGTGGTCAACTATCCGATTATTGTCAAGATAAAGCTTGTTTACAAAATCATTAAATCAAGCCCTGGACCTGTGACTAGGAACTGCATAAATGTCACCTTTTTAGACCTTTTGTTTATACTAAGTGTTTAAACAGTAACTATGTCATTGTTCTGCACCTTTATCTGCTTTACACAGTTTCAGAAGGAAAACTTCTAGTCATAAACATGTTCAAAGACTCCAAGGCCAAATTTTCAAAAGGTAGGCTCCCAGAATTAGCCATTCAAGTCTGTATTTTGACACCTAAATAAGTGGCCCTTTGAATTCAGTGAGATTTATCTAGCACCTCTGGAGAGGAGGGTGTTTGCTGGGCACCTCAGCAGGTGTAGAGGGTTGTGACCTTCCCCTGGGCCTGGGGGGACCTGGCACCTCTCCCTCCTTCAAGAAGCGACAAGAACAGAGCCGCTCACCCCCTGCGACCATGCTGGAGTCACTGATGTTGGGTGCCTGA